AAGTAGGCCTCTTGGATGCTGCTCTTTTCAGAATATCCTGAGAAATCCCATAATTTCACAAGTTAACCCCTTACTCTTACTATATTTGATTTCTTACTATTCCTCCGCATTTACAATTAATTAGTTCCACAACCACGACGCCGAAGTGTACGCTCCGTAGCGTCTTGGTACTGATCATTTCACTCCTTCTAAGGTGCGAAAGTTGATTTAAATCTTTGCGTACACATAGAACCTGGGGACTTAATCAGAACTTTAAAAGCACTGATAGAGAGAAAGGTGGGTTAATTTTGATGATAATGATGATGATGATGATGATGATAACGATATTGATGACAATGAAACAATCCGTGACGTTAGAAAAGCTGGATAAAAGGAAAGGAGATAATGATTATGTCGATAGTGCTGGTTACTGTACAAAGTAAAAGACATTGCAGCTTAGTGCATTAATAATAAAACATCCGAGCCTCACTGAACTAAAAAATGAGGAACTTTACTTGTGTAGTGGTTTTCAACAATGTTGCAAATAATTTGATCTTTCAGTGGCATCTAAAAATCAATTAGCATCCCCCCTCCCTGCCTTCAGAAATTTTTACCATCCCCACTTTTCCCTTGAAAAACCTTTAAGACCCCCAACTCTTGTGCCCCCCCTCTGTGGTATACATAATGATTTCGCGAGTGTTAAATTTCGCGATTTTCGCGATTTTTCCCAAATCGCGAAATTTTTAATACCATGCAGATCCAGAAAGTAACGAAATTCAGTCATGTTGTTTTACTAGTTATTCCATCATGTCTCAGCTAAGAGATTTTGGTACCGACTCTCACCGAACTATTTCCAAAAATTCAAGCGGATGCCGGCTCCTGATTGGGTACAAAAAATGCTTTGTATTATTGTGCCCAATCGGCGAACAGTTTCTCCTGAGTTCTTTTCGTGAGTTCGTACACATTACGTTATAGCCAGGATTTTCCCTGAAAATGACAAGTTCACAGCTTCGTATCAAACAATGAAATATCTCCCCAAAGCATTATGCATATCAAACGTTGCAAACAACAAAAACGAACTTTGAAAAACTGTTTTGAAAAACCACAATTATAATCCGTTTCAATCTACTTCATGTTTGTCCATCCATGCCTCTTTTTGTCAGAGATTTGCTGTGTTTTCATTCCTTATCTTAGTGTTTCGAAGCTTTATTTTATGTTTTACTCACTTTGGTGGCGGCTCTCTCTCTTTCGTGCCACAGCTCCTGTAAGCCAGTGTTCATTCAAGTTTTCGGCACCCTGGCAAAAAGCTCAATCTCTAATGAAGCTTCCCTCATTCCCGCCTAGCTAAAAGGTTTTGTGCACTTGGTTGAGGCCAATAATCACCTTACTTTAATTTCTGTCACGCGTACGTAGAGCCTTTCTGCCATGATACGCGCATCAAATGTCATGGCATTTCCACTCGTAAATGGCGACGCCACCACTGGTTTTCCCAGCGAAGTGACGTCTGAGAAACGAGCGCAGAATCCCATACTGATGACGCGTCACTACCCAGATCTGGGTAGTAATTCTGATTGGTTAAAAATTTGCTTCAACCAATCAGAAGTACTACCAAGATCTGGATAGTGACGAAAATCAAAATCCATCCCCGATGGGACCCGAAGTAGCTCTCTGTACGGTGGTGTACTCGTGCAAGTTATGGAGTGAAATACATTGTACAAAACTCAGGGATCGTACAGAGCATCAATTTTCAGCAATTTTCCAGACCTGAAAAAAGTCTCGAAAATGGAGATAAAGTCTGAAAAAATAGTAAAAAAATCTTGCATTGAGTTTTTCTCAAAGCTACAACAAATAGTGCTTTATAAGTGACATGTTTTCGTTTTGGTCAAATCTTATTTAATTTCGCCCGTATGTTTGCAGCCTATCATGAAAAAATCTTTGTTCCTGCGTTTTTTTAAGGTCTCTATTGATCACTGACCTATTTTATAATCTGGACGAGTCTGGAAAAAGAGATTATTGTTTTGGAAAAAGTCTGGAAAAGTCTTAAATTTATTTCCTGGTATCTGGGCAAAGGATGAACGGTAGTTAAAAAAAAGGATCAGCTAGGGATTTTTGGAAGTAAAGCAGGGATGGTAAAACGGACCGAAAAGAATTGTTACCATTTCTGCCCCATTGGTTTGTTGGAGAACTTCGATGCGAACGCAGGCTAGGCGTCTAGAGATTTGGAATCACGTTTACAGTTAACGCCATTTTTATACATGTTGCTAAGCTTTCTCTTTCTTCATCTTTACCACCCCAAAATAAAGACATTCATGGCAGGTTTATCCATAAGGATAATTTAATTTTCTCAGTTTTTATCTGTTGATTTCCTAACTTGAGTAATTGTAATACTTGAACCTGATGTTCCGACTTTGTCGTCAACGTAATTCTACGACTCCGAAACGACGGGAGTGATCGTGGCAGTAACCTTTGTGAGACCAAATTTATGGATTCCAGTCGTTGAAAGGAAAATCGAGCGATTTAGAGTCGCGTTCACGGCAAACGGCAAACATTAGACCCAAGGTGACATTTTCGATTTCTTGAATTAGGAAATGAACAGGTACAAACTTTGCAAAATAATTGTTACGGATTAGACTGATCGACATGAAACTACTAACTTTTTTTGTGTAGATACAACAACTGAATCGGCTTCTGACGAAAACTGCGCAAGCGTGGCGCAGTGGTGAGGGCTCTTGCCTCCCTTCCCCCCGCAGGGGGCGGGGTTACTCCCTATAATGGCCTTTATGGTGAGGCTCCGACCGAAAGGGGTACCTTTTTCATGCTTCAGGTATATGAAAGGATAGGTTTGTTGTTGGTTCTCTTCCTTGCCGATAGGTTTTTCTTAGGGTGCTCTTGTTTTCCCCTCTCTCCAAAAACCAACCTTTCCAAATTCCAATTCGATCCGCAAGCAACGCACGGACTCGTTTAAGCGAGTTCTTAATAACTTCTAAGTGCTCCGTGGGAAAACAAATTACAGATTACAATTTTAGTTATTTATTTTTTAAGACTGATGCCTTGGTCACGTAAAAATTGACGTTGCCGTTTGACCTGAATGGATTCTAGATCTCTCCGATATTGTAGGAAATATTTTTTGTTAAGGAGAAAATAGATAATTAAGGATAAACACGAATTTGCTATGTCAATACGCTTTATTTTAAGAAACTTGGTGAGATTATTTACAGATTACAATCAAACCTCCATGTGCGACCTTCTCGGATACGCAACATGCTGTTCGAACTACTAAAATTAGTTTTCCTACTCAAAGCACTACTGAAAACTAAACCACCAAATCTTTGCATCATACTCAAAGCAAATATTGGTCTTCTATACTAACATACTAACCTATGCTCAGGCATGAACATTATACAATGAAATAACCTTAAGTTTTCAACTGGGCTAGTTTTGGATTAGGACAAGTTGGTTTCGCTAGGCTTTTATTTGACTTAATTGAGTCGTCAAACCTTATTTCATAATGCAAGGTTGCAAAACTACTGCTTCTATGTTCACAAAAAGATTGGCTCTAAAATATATACAATTCTACTAAACTATAAACCTTGCAATGTTGTTTGCATTGTAATCAAACTTCAATTTGCGATAATAAAAAGCTCGTTTACCTAAAAAGTATTTTTTATTTGCAGCCTTAGGGACTAATTAAGGAAGTAGGTTTTTTTGGCAGATTACCTAAAAAGACAGGGAAATTAGCTAATCCTAACGTTATTCGTGTCACAATTACAGTTTTATCATTGTCCGAGCTACCGATGTACACTTCTACATGTACAAAGCTGGTGATTTGAGCTTTTCAAGACATTTTAGAGATGAGAGTACTCAAGGTACCTACACACACACACAAAATAAGATTAGTGGGAAAAATAATTAAGCCGGCAAAGATAAACCGCTGGGCCAAGCAAGTCAGTTCTCTTTCACAGTAATTCTTTTAATCAATGTTCGTATGCTGCAGAGATTGATCCTTTACATTATCCGCCAGGGACTACCTCATTGGAATTCTGCCGAAGGGCTGTTTCGTTATTCCATGGTGTGTCGTTAGTGTAATACCTGCAACAGTAATGTATAAGAAACATAAAAATTAATAAAACACATCTACTCAACACAAAAGACTCCAGCTGGGCTAAGCGGCATTTAGGTTCATTATACATGGAGCAGGGATCCTCCGGCTTTGTCGTGGCGGAAGAGGTTTACTTATTTGAGTTTATCTCACCGCTAAAACTTTCCAATCAATTGGCATCACAAATGAAATGTAGGGTGCACAGCTAAAATAGGTTTGAAACTTCTTGCCTTGATGACCTACGGAATCTCGGTCTTCCCTCTTTGGTCCAAGTTTAGAACCAGTATTCTTGTGTAATTCAGTCAGTGTCAGCGAAAAGCCCTCTAGTTACGGTCAAGACTCCATACACAGTCCATAATTTGTACTTTGCAGTGTTTTCGATCAATTCTGAGATCTAGATCTCCGCCATAATATTTTTGATCCGATTATCTTTATATCAACCAAAAACCTTCCCTGGGCTGTTTGGTTCGGATTCATAACTGGAATTCTCTTCCTATTATATTCAGAAAGAAAAAAGTTTGTCAGCAAAACCTGACGATCATATTGAACCGTAGCAAATAAAAGAATATTGAATTATTTGTGCCTCATATATCAGAAAAGAGAGAAAAGAATTAAATCATTCTGTGTTGTTGTAGGGATTCGGGGCTTAGTGTTTTTTTTTTCAAATGCAAAGTCTCGCATATGCACGGGTTGACTGATAAGTACAGAGGTGTGGTCGAATGTTAAAAAGCGGTTAATTGATATTTTATCTCAGTCATAGTAAAAGCTAACTTCAGATGTAGTCAATAATGTGGCTTTTAAGGGTAAATACTGCTTTCTATTTGGTACTTAAAAGTACCAAATGCACCCAAGTTGATAAAACTGTAATACAAAAAGACCTGACAGACTTCCTATGGCTCTAATTGTCAGAAAACAATTACCCTCACTTTTCTTCACCAAAGTGAAATGACACGTCATCCCCAATCAGCATGAAAGGTGCCCACTGCCTCACTTCTGAGAAACCGTTATTTCGCATCCACTTCATAGCCCGGTGAAGACTTTCCCTTGCACTTTTCCCTTGGACAAGGTTTTCGTAGAATCTTCCCATGAACTCCTCTGTTGCTCTGTCTTGTAAGGCCCACAATGCCACCAACACTGAGCGTGCACCCGATCCTAAGAATGCTCGAGCGATTCCAACAACGCCCTCTGTTTTGATCTGTCCACGTGCGGTATGGCAACAACTAAGGACCACCAGTTTGGCTGACAGTCTAACTTGTGAAATGTCGGTCATTGACAGTAAGTAGTCTGCTTCGTGTGGAAACTCCACTGTGGAGTCAGCGGGGGTAAGAGCAATTTCTCCTCTTTCGGCATCACCATGAGCAGCGAAATGTACGAGGCTCACTGAGGTTATTCTCTGAAGAACCGCCTGCTTTGTTGCTTGCTCTCCTATTAAAAGGTGAGATTCAGGTAGTAGTCTCGCAATCATCTCTGCTTCCCCTTTCGCGCCAGGCAATGGACAGAGATACCTTAACACTCCCTTGAAATACACATCCGTCACTCTTGGCTCACCCACAATCAATGCACCAGTTTCGCTGTGAGAGTCGGCTGGACTGTCCAGAATGAGCTTGAGAGTCGTCAAAGAAGGGACAATTCGTATCCTGAAAGAATCTGATAAATAGCGGCCACTTTCATCGTGTAATGCTGCAAACGGAACTTGGAAGAAGCAGCGATCAGGAACAACAATGATTTCAGATCCTTCTAGCAAGTCACTCACGGGAGCAATCAACATGTTGTAAACCTGAAAAAGTGTTGGCGGTTCAGGGTCTGTGTATACTTCTCCCTCATCTAAAAGAGGACGCAAGGTTGAGAGACTATCTTCCAGATTTGATTCGTTTGTAAGTTGGTTGGCGAATGAAGAGAAGAGTGATCGGTCTTCGCATTGCTCTTGAGGTAAAACGTGAATTTTTCTTAATAAGCTTTCGTTTCCAAACAGGTCATACACAGAGATTTTGCCATGCTTGCTAACATAGCTTTCACAAAGTTTCGTTCTTCGGAAAGCTACCGGTTTGTTTTGTTTCAAAACCCACAAAAATATGCTGTTGCCATTTTTCTTAATTACTTCCGCGATGCCAACAAACGATTGTGGGTTAATGGATATTTCTTTTTCAATGGAGTAGCGATTTGACATAAGTTCTGCTAGAGCTCTGGCCCGTCCAAGTTCAGCAGCGTGTAAAGCTTCATAGGGTTTCCCACAAGAACAACTCAATGAACAAAACAGCCGATAGGGAGACGCGTTCTTGTCAAAAAATGATATATTGTGGCTATCTTTGCTTCCTAGAGAAGTAAGCATTTTTTCGTAAATTTGAATGCTTGACCAGAGATCCGATAAGGCTTGAGATGTGTTTCCTAGCTTTAGGTAGCGAGACGCTTCTCCGACGTCTTTGTCGCCAATTTCTGTGTTGGTGGTAAGTGCTGTATGACGATTTTCTTCAGCCTTGCCATATTCTTCTACATGTAAAAACAGAGCTCCTAGGTTTCCGTAGCATGACGCTTCTTTGTTTCTGTCGCTAATTTCTGTCATGATGGTAAGTGCTTTATGAAGATATTCTTCAGCCTTGGCATATTCTCCGACAGATTGAAACACATCTCCTAGGTTTCCGTAGCATGTCGCTTCTCCCTTTCTGTTGCCAATTTCTGTGTTGATGATAAGTGCTTAATGAAGATATTCTTCAGCCTTGGCATATTCTCCGACAGATTCAAACACATTTCCTAGGTTTCCGTAGTATGTCGCTTCTCCGTTTCTGCCGCCGATTTCTGTGTTGATGGTAAGTGCTTTATAAAGATATTCTGCAGCCTTGGCATATTCTCCGACAGAATGAAACAGATATCCTAGGTTTCCGTAGCATGTCGCTTCTCCGTTTCTGTCGCCAATTTCTGTGTTGATGGTAAGTGCTTTATGAAGATATTCTTCAGCCTTGGCATATTCTCCGACAGATTGAAACACATTTCCTAGGTTTACGTAGCATGACGCTTCTCCCACTCTGTCGCCAATTTCTGTGTTGATGGTAAGTGCTTTATGAAGATATTCTTCAGCCTTGCCATATTCTCCGACAGATTGAAACACTTTTCCTAGGTTTCCGTAGCATCTCGCTTCTCCGTTTCTGTCGCCAGTTTCTGTGTTGATGGTAAGTGCTTTATGAAGATATTCTTCAGCCTTGGCATATTCTCCGACAGATTGAAACACATTTCCTAGGTTTCCGTAGCATGACGCTTCTCCCACTCTGTTGCC